ATTCTAACTTATCGAATTACTAAAAAAAAACTAACTTTAATTAAGTGCAGAAAGCTTTTTTAAACTTTTCTCAATTCTTTTTTATTTTTACTGTACTTAAATGTGAATTTGTAATTTTTTCTAATTAATGTTAATATTTATATTTAACACGCTAATTAAAAGGCAAAAAAAATTTTTTCTGAATTTAATTTGAAAAGCAGTGAATAATAATAAATAAATAATGGACAGCCTATGTTTCACTGTTACGACTTATTAGAAACTTATCTTAGACTTTGATTTTTTTTAAGTAAAAGAAAAAAAACCTATATTTTACGATTTTTTTCTTCAGTAATTATACTTTTTTTTTAAAAATAAGCCAAATGACTTCTTCCAAGTCCGATTTTGTCATTTATTATATGGCTTGAGGAAATTTTTGAATTAAAAACCGAACTAAATAGCAAATTATGCATAATTTAACAAAATCTTTTAAAATAAGAATGGCAACATTTAAGAAAAAACAGCTTATCGTTAATATAATAGCAAAATTAGTTGTTTTAAATGAAGCACAAAGTAATTTCTCGAAATTCTAATGTAAATGCATTTTTTCTAATTCGTCTTTCGTAATAATAAAAGTTTGCAAAGTCCCGTTTTAATTTCCATTTTGTCATAAATTATTCTAAGACGAGTGAATGGCGAATGCATTTGCTCACATAAAAGGTAATCAATATAAAATGGAAAGAGCGAAACGGTTTTATTTCAAACCGTCCAGATTGAAACTAAGTGCCCCCCAGAGCTGGTCTCATCTCCTACCGTCTCCAAAACAATGGAAATAAATGATTCAGGAAAAAGCGAACCTAAACTCACTGTATTAACTTCGCTTTGCCTTCTTTGACTTGAATTTTCATTCTAACTAGAACTTATTTTTTAAAATCCCCGAAGCAATGATGCGGCCAAATTGAAATCTCCAAAATATGAACCAAACAATGAACTACACTTTCTCTTTTCTTAGCAAAAAAATAAACAATCTTAAATCAATTTATCTGTTTCTCTCAAAAAAAAAACATTGTGTTTATTTCGGGAATAAAATATTGAAACAAATTTAATTTTACTATATGCTACTTTTGAACTACAGTAGAAAAAAATATAGGGAAAAAAAAGGGTCAGTGAGAATGCAATTTTTTTAATTTTGCTTAAATTAATAATTCTGAAAGAGTAAAAAAAAAACACATAAATAAACCAGAATATTTGCAGATAAAGTTTTTCCCGTGTTTTACATATAGGATGTCCCAGCGAGTTGAAAAAGTCCATTAGTGACCTTTAAATAATAAAATTTAAAAAAATACTAACCTAGTACATCACCTAAAATTATTTTTAATCATACAGCATGTCCCAAAAATAAGTTACGATACAAACTTGTGTTTTTTTAAATAAAACACTGTATGTTTCTTTGCATTTTTGGATGTAGCCTTTTATAACAATGTTTTTACGCTAAACTTTTATTGGTCAATTTCGCTTAGTTTCGTGATTTGACGAAAACATGCACTTTTTAAAAATGTATTACACAAAAATTAAGACAGCTAGAACAAATTTTTTCTTACTTCTACAAAGAAGAAAGTACAGAATTTAAAGCTGTAGCAATTTTTTAGTGTTTTGCATTTGTAAAGATTAATAAATTAAGAAGTTTGTTAAAAGTTAAATAACTTAAAAAATTTAAATGGAACACCTATTTTTTATTTTTGCATCTAAAAGATTGATAAATTGTCTATCTAAAAA